ACAAAACGAACAAATCACTCCCAAAAAGGAATCCCATCCATCATCTCTCATGGTTTGGAGTTGTGTTTTACATATCTAGCATTGACAATATCTTGATCTTTTCTTTGTAATGCTTTTGACAATTCGTTTGAAATCCCTAAAATCTTTTTTCATGAGATATAGATTAAATGCAAATTCAAATCTTAACATCAACTCCAATGAAATGCATGCATCACCTCTTGTTCCGGTACTTGTAGAATCAGTAGCAATCATCTCAATGACTTCGACTATAGTTGAAAACATGGTAATCAAGTTAATTAAACAACTATAGTGAGAGCCCCAACGTGTATCCCCAGGACGCTGAAGAGTAATTTCTTGATTGAGACCTCGTCCGCTTGATATTTCACCAATATTGAGTGATTCAAGAATTTTCAATCTTTGATTCTCTCGAATAAGATCACTCCGTTTAGCTGATCCTCAAACAATATTCACCAATCTATGTACTGTAGTAAAGAAAGTTTCAATCTTCGGATGTTTCTGTGCCACGGCTACAAGAGCTAATTGAAGTTGATGAGCAAAGCAATGAATATAGTAAGCACTTGGATTTTCTTTCAAAATAAGTGCTTTGAGGCCATTATACTCACCTCGAATGTTACTAGCTCCGTCATATCCCTGACCTCTCAAATTAGATATGCTTAAACTATGCATTGAGAATAATTGATCAATTGCAGCCTTAAGTGAGGCAGTTGTGGTATTCAAAACATGAATGACACCAATAAAATGTTCCAATATACACCCATTCTTCACATAACGAATGACAACTGACATTTGCTCTTTCACAGAAATGTCTCGAGATTCATCAACTAAAATTGAGAAGAAACTATCACGAATATTTTCGATAATCACATGTAGACATTCAGAAGCGATAGCACTTACAATATCTTTTTGCACTCTTGGTGATGTTAATTTCAAATTCTCAGGTGCATTTGTCAAAGCAACGGCCTTAATCTCAGGATTATGATCACACAACCAATGCAACAGTTCAAGAAAGTTTCCTTGATTGTTTGAATCTTCAGATTCATCATGTCCACGAAATGCCATCCCTTGTCGTAGAAGAAATCGAACACAATCAATTGAAGCATTTAATCGGATTCGATAATTTGTTCAAGCTTGATGCGATTGTTTAACGAGACAAGATCGAATACTTTGTTCTTGATTGTTGAACAATTCATATTTGACCCGAGCTTGATTGTGTGCACTACTTGAAGCCCCAACGTGTTTTCTTATATATTCTTTCTTTTTCCAATTTGAGAATCCACCTTTAACAAATGAACCACCATTCAAACCGAAAAGATAACAATAAAAGCAAAAAACTGCATCATTTGCTATACTGTATTCCAACCAAGTGGGATGCTCATTATACCACGAAACACAAAATCGTCGATCTACTTTACCTATTTTTGTGGGTGGAAATATATGATTGCGAGGCTAATAAGGACCTCTTTGCATATATGCTCTTCGAATCACATCTCGAATATTAATATCATAATTTTGTATTGGAACTCTCAATCCAGGATCAGAGGGAAGCTGTGCAACATCAACATCCCCAACATCTCCACTATTTCCAACATCTCCAATATCCTCAACATTTCCAACGTCACCAATACCCCCAAATCCAACATCAACATCTCCAACCTCTCCAATACCCCCAACGTCTCCAACATCCCCAACATCTCCAACATCAACATCTCCAATACCCCCAACATCAACATCTCGAACATTGTTTTCATCCCTTTTCTTTCGAACATTCCTTTCATCAATATTTTGTTCATCACAGGAAATCGCAGATGTACGTTTAAAGTATTTTTCCATAACTGAAACAAACCAAAAATGAAAAATCAACATGATTAGAAATGCCTAAATCAGTTTATACTATGTCATACCTAATTTCCTACCAAAAGTCAGACAGTTTCAAATTTTCAATCTTCCCAATTCCAAATCAATATTATCAATTTACATATAAATAAGTAACAAACCCAAAATCAGAAATTGGTCAATTTCCTAAATCAAAGCCCTAAATCAGAATTCAGAAATCCCTAAATTACATTTATTGGGCAGGAAACCGAACAGGAATCATAATTGATTAATTGCATTGTACATAAATCCAATTCAAGAAATAGAAGTAACTAACACTCTAACAGCAGAGAGGCAGGCAGGCGGCAGCAAAGCAGGTTAACTGGCTAAGCACTAAGCAGTTACTGACTTACTGTCGAGAAGAATTCAAAGAAAAATTTTGAGTAAAGCTTCTAACCTTCAACTTTCAAGTCAGTAAAAATGGTAAGCCCGGGTTCGGCGTCGACTGTTGCAGTCACATAGAGGCAGGTCAGGCGCAAAGCGGTCCAGGTGGGGGTGGCCGACTGGCCGGTCACCGGTGCGTGCACAGTGCACTGCGTGGGAAAGAGCAAGTCTGTGAATTTGTAGAAGCAAGGAACTGGTGGGAGTGCACTGTGCGAGAGCCAGCCTGCCGCCTGCCGGAGAGTGAGAGACGAGAGTCGAGTGAGAGAGAGAGAAATCGTTGTCTGCCAAGCAGGGAAGAAATGTTAGGTTTGTGAGTTGTGACCTTTGTCTATTTTAATTTTGATCTAATATTTATTTATATTAAAAAAAATCCTAAAAATTGGGGGGTCAATTGACCCTGCATGCCCCCCCGGTCCGCCAGTGGCAACACCATGTGAGCATCAATAATGTGGAATTAGAACTGTGCAGTTCGTTGGATCCACGTTCTTTCAGTTGACTAATCATAGCTGTTGTTGCAGTCACATAGAGGCAGGTCAGGCGCAAAGCGGTCCAGGTGGGGGTGGCCGACTGGCCGGTCACCGGTGCGTGCACAGTGCACTGCGTGGGAAAGAGTAAGTCTGTGAATTTGTAGAAGCAAGGAACTGGTGGGAGTGCACTGTGCGAGAGCCGGCCTGCCGCCTGCCGGAGAGTGAGAGACGAGAGTCGAGTGAGAGAGAGAGAAATCGTTGTCTGCCAAGCAGGGAAGAAATGTTAGGTTTGTGAGTTGTGACCTTTGTCTATTTTAATTTTGATCTAATATTTATTTATATTAAAAAAAATCCTAAAAATTGGGGGGTCAATTGACCCTGCATGCCCCCCCGGTCCGCCAGTGGCAACACCATGTGAGCATCAATAATGTGGAATTAGAACTGTGCAGTTCGTTGGATCCACGTTCTTTCAGTTGACTAATCATAGCTGTTACGTGTTGTCATACTTGGCCAACCTATTTAGGCCTATGGCCCACTCAATCCGAATCACGTGGCGCTCTAGCCGAGGTGGTTTGTATGGCTGAGGCCCTTCATGTCGAGGCCTGTGAAGATAGCCGAAACCCTAAAGCGGAAGTATTACGTGAGTGGCAGAAACCCCGAATCAGAAGCCGAAGCGAAAGCCTCCGAACCATGAAGGAACGTCTTCCATGATCAATTCTCCCAAGAGATCTTTTACATAAAGATCTTGTTAGAATGATTGATGGAACGTTTGTTATAAGTGTACATATCAAGTCTTGTCATTAGCATGAGGGTTCTGCATAAGCAATAAATGCGCAGCAAGCTAGCAAGTCAGGATGATGCCTAGTATTGGATGTTTGAATTAAAGATATGAGGCCACGTGCCACCTCATCCAATGGTTGTCATTTCACATGTACCACTATAAATACTTCCCTTGTGTAACATTGAAGGACTAATGCAAGAATTATTACAAGAAATCACACTTTACTCTCTCTTTCATATTGCTTTACAACACAATACGAGTTTAAACATATTTACATGCATATTCATGAGCACCGATTGGTAATTATTGTACAATCGGATTAAGAACATCCCGTCGGATTTCGAACGTTCTCGTCCCACATCGTTGAGCTACTCCCACGCCCCTGATCCGTTCATTTTAGACCGTCCACATGTCTTAAGTGTGTAGGACCTTCGCTCACGGGTGCGCGGGTGGGTCCGGCATCTGTTGGCGACATTTTTTAGGGTCAACAGATTGGCACCGTCTGTGGAAAACCATGCCATAACCACGAACAACCTTGTGGTGAGAGCTTATTGAAGTGCATTTAGGCATCCTCCTTGAAAAATGATTTGTTCTTGAAAAAGAACAAGAGGAAGCCCCACAACTTAGCAAAATTTGAAGAGTCAGACGAAAAGAAAATGAGTTCAAACGAAGACACACCCCCCAGAAGGGTAAGAGAAGATGCAAATGTGCCTCTTCCACCCGCTGCCCCAGCAGCTCGGTAAAGACTCCACCACCACCAAATAAGAGGTGGAATGCAGGTGACGACACGACTGTCAAGAGAAATGGCTGCCATGGCGGCCAACATAAGGGATATTGCTAGCCAAAACTTGGCTATGAGGGAGCTCATGGCCCAAATGCAAGGCCAGAGAAGCTTCCCCATTCCTCCATACACCCCTCAAGGGCACTACCAGCAAGAAGATGAAATTCAAAGTCATAGAGCTGCCTCGCCGGACTATATCCGAGGTGGAAGCCCATTTGAAAGGGAAGTTGAAGTTGATGTTTCCTCCAACGACGCTTCTGGCCGACCCACCGAGGTTCCATTGAACCATGATAACTTCCCACCTCCGTATGAACAGGAGTCAAGACATAGGAAGGCAGGCAGTGTATTTGACAGAATTAGCCCCGCTAAACCGAGGCTTAGGCAACAATAGACTCACCAGCCTAAGGCCACCACCTTCACCTCCAATGCCCCAGCAGCCGGAAGAAAGGAATGAAAATAGGCTCCAGAGGAGGGAGAAAGAGGTTAGGAACCGTCCCGGAACCTCCCACCAACAACCACGGCAAGAGGCCGATGAATACGATTCAGATGAACAGTAGAGGTCGTATGACTTGGACAATGACGATGAGAATTTGCCGTTCTCAAGGGAACTAAGGAGTGCACAGGTTCCAAGCCACTATGTAATGCCAAAGATACCAAAGTATGACGGAAAGGGCGCCCCAGAGAAGCACCTGAATGCTTATAAAACTCACATGAGCCTAAGCGGCGCCACCCAGTTGTGAAGTGTAAAGCTTTCCATTTAACACTTAGTGGAGTGGCCAAAATTTGGTATGGTAGGTTACCGCCTGGGAGCATAAGAAGCTGGCCCGAGTTCAAGACAACATTCTTGAAGAGGTTCGCGGTAAGCAAAGAAGGAGAGGCCCCCATCCAACGACTCCAAGATATGAGACAAGCACATGGGGAGTCCCTAAAGAGTTTCTTATCACACTTCACCGATGAGATGACATATTGCGTGCAAGTCACCGATCGTAAGGTGCTATCCGCATTAAGGGGAGGTCTAAACATGAATACCCTATTCTGGAGGGACGTGCAAAACCAAGATCCCACCACCTATGATGCCCTACTTGAGATGATGAGGCGAGAAATCATCAATGAAGAATTGATTGAGCATAGGAACATGGCAAGTAGGGACCTCCCACCTCTTCAAAGGCAGCGCGTTAGAGGGCCGACCTCCCACTTGATGGACTACCAAATGAACCAGACTGGAAATGAGAGTTCTGGCCAAGCACTTGCCACCACCACTTTGAATGTAGTTCCTACCTTGGCATATGAGGATATCAACCCAATTACTAACATCTAGCAGATAGAAACCCCACAAGAATCCCGTAGGGGGAGAGGTCGAGGCCGAGGTTTGGGACCTAGAAATAGGTCAAATCAGAACCCACCGGGATATTATGTACACCACCGGTCCTATGGACACGACATAGCGGATTGCCGAGACTATGCGCACCGCTCCCGGCAGGAACCCCCTAGGGACAGAAATGAATCGCTCCAGGCGAACAGGCCCCCATCCAGGCACGACAACCAACGTGGCCGTGAGGAGGCCGCTTCTCGTCAAAGGGATGTTTCCCCACGACGAATGGAGCATGATACGGAGAGGCCTAGGGAAGGGTGCAGGCACCGAAGAAATCGACAAGCTCAGGATGAGGCCCCTATCCACGAGGTGGATACCATATTTGGAGGACCATATGTTGGCGGTGAAATATGAAACGCCAAAAGGAATTACGCCCCGGAGGCTAAACACCCCCCCTTTGGC